GCCCAGAGAGTCCCCATGTATAACCTGAGATGTGCAGCTGAGGAGAACTGTTTGTCAAGGTATAGACTCGTGCTGTCATGATTAATCCGGGGGGAGGAAAGAAAAAAAAACTTGGGTGTGCAGCCAAGTGTGAGTGTGATTCAGAAAGCCTTGAGCCATAACAACCCCCTCAAGTGTTTGTGGGTGAGGGCTGCCGTGTGGAAGCATGAGAGGAGGTGGAATTAACCGAATCCTGCCACTGATGGTGCAGAAGGGTGGAGTGGTGGATTTGTGTAAAAGCTTAATCATAGCCTGCCGGAGAAGAGAAAGCCTGAACGGTAAACACATTGAAAACTAAACCCAAACAACCATGGGCACCCAAACTTTTTTTTTTTCCACCCATCATTTATTTACACACAGACTCTGCTCCACTGCAGGAGAGGAAATGCAACAATGAAAAAAAGCAATCTTGGTGATGTCATTGTGACCAGTGCCTCTTTGTTTGCTGTGTCCCTGCAGCTCGGCCTACAGAGCCAATGTCAGAGACTACGACACCCGCATGCTGCTGAGGTTCCCTCAGAGAGTCAAGAACCAGGGCACGGCCGACTTCCTCCCCAGCAGGCCTCGCTACTCCTGGGAGTGGCACAGCTGTCACCAGTGAGTGTGATGTCATGTCACTTGTCCACTTGTTTGCATTGACGTCCTCGAGCATCATGTTGTTCTCACCGGCCATTGTGCACCTTTTACTGTCTTTACTTCACATGCACGTGTTTCCTTTCTCAGCACAAACTCTTCCATAGGTCTGATTTCAATTTGACTGAAGCCGCTAGGAAACCAAACACAAGAGAATTACATGTGGTGCCTATCAAACGGGGCCTTTAGTGATATTGCCTCACAGTAATATCATACAAGATATCATTTCATTGTTTAAATACAAAACTACAGTGAAAAAATAAAACATAAAAAAGGTTTTTACATGCAAAGTGAATTTATTTTGGGTCATTCTCACTGGAAATCTGTGTATGTCTGAAAAATGTTCTTTAATTTGTCTTTTACTGCTCCACAGACATAAATGAGATACTAGGTTATGATCGTGTTTCATTGTGCCATTACATAATATGTTAACAAAGTTGAATGACTCTATTAACCAGTCCTCAATTTGATAATCTCTATGTATGCATATTTAAATTCACATATTTATTAAGAGTATGGACTGGTGATTGAAGAATTGTAGTTTTAATTATCAGTTACGTTCATTACACGTATTAATAACTGAAAAGTTACTTCATCATCATCGTCACTATTGGGCTGTTAGGCAGTATAGTTGTGGAATGGCACCCCCTGTTGAGCCACAGTTGTGTTACTTTTGGCTGCTTTATTGTGTTGTGGAGATCCCGATGTCAGAGCTGACATTTTCACAACACGTTTTATTTGTATCTTTAAACTTTAAAAGATGTAATTTTCAATTTTCACAAACAAAGAAAAAAAACCTACTTTGGGTTTTCACTGACCTTCACACGACCTTTTTACTCAGCTCTTTAACAACTGCAAAACCAGACGTTGTAAAATAAAATCGTGTGATGAGGAGAAGGAGCTAAAAATGGAAACTGGAGATATTTTCGTCACTTATGGAAAAGTGTCCAGTTTTTCTGTGGCTCCGCAGGAACGACCTCAGTCCATAGTTATGTTGTGAAACAAGCAGCCGACTGTTCTAATCCCCAAGATGGATCGTGTTTGGCAGCAGTCCTGTGAACTGTTGATGTAGGCGGTATAGATATTCTGTCAGTGTTTTGAAAGTCAGCTGAAGTTAAAAACCAGACTGTTCAGGCTCATTTAAAAAAACTCTTTCTTTTAGATAATGGAGTGAAACCAGATTTAGGTCCATATGCAGTCATGTAATTGATAAACAAAATAAACTCCTGTGGTGTCTCTCGATATACAGATAATATGACAGCTCCCTAAAAGTGAACCTGCAGTGTAGGTCATAAATCCTCATGAGTTCTCCTCCATGTTAGTGGATGGGGCATGGACCAAACTAAAACGTTATTGTACACATCAAAAACTATTTTAAAATATACTTTCTGTCATTTTAGGTTGTTCCTATCACACTGATGTACGCGTAACTACATTCCCCCTCAGTGTCATGATTGACAGCTAAGACTGAATAACGATTGGTCGTGCCCATGTATCAGAGCGTTCTCCATCTTTATACACAGTCTTGTCATAGAAGTGTGTAACACTGTGCTGCTGATCCACAGGCACTTTCACAGCATGGACGAGTTCAGCCACTACGACCTGCTGGACGCCAGCAGTCATCACTCGGTGGCCGAGGGCCACAAGGCCAGCTTCTGCTTGGAGGACACGTCCTGCGACTATGGATACTACAGGCGGTATGCCTGCACCGCACATACCCAGGTGTCCAAGATAACTCCAGCAGCACAAATTTTATTACTGCATTTTAGGCCTGCAAGTTTATTTTCACAATAGGCAAACTTTCTGTTTTAGAAATTACCTCAAAGAGACAAGAGGCTTATCTGCTCATATATGTTCAAATATGAAATATTTAAAAGTTTGACAACTGAAGCAGAATTCCTCCATTACTCATTTTTATCTTCACATCTGTGTTTCTCCTCCTGTGACATGTTGAAATCTCTTTTATAAAAATCCAGTGTGAATCATAACTGTTGCAAAATAAAGTCCAGTTCACTAGTGACCATTAAGAGAGTTGTAAATTTAGTTTCAGTTGACTTGTTTTTCACTTGATGGCTTTGTCACAGGATATGTGGTTCATACATTTAAAAAAAGAGAAAGAACCTAAGATAAATACGTCTTCTATTCCCGAGGCGGCTGTCTTTTAGTGCACAGATCGAGTATTTCCTTTTCTGCATGAGCCAATGGTGATGGTGATTTAATGATTTCCTGTTTCTGGAGTAAGATGGCCCCACCTGCCTGAACGTCTGTGATCAAATGTGTTGCACATGTTCTCTTTTTCCATCCCGCTCTTTTTTTTTTTCCACTGTTTTGACCTGCAAAAAATTTTCCTTTCCCTTTTTTAAAAAATTTAAATCCAAAACACCTCTTCACTATCTGTCTGTCAATCTCATCATTATTTATTAGACTATACAATAATAATACTTTATTAGTTGGTGTTCTATATGAAACAGTTTATATAATGTTTTATAATGATGTCTAATGTGCAGGGTCTGAGCCCAGGATGTTATGACACCTACAACGCAGACATCGACTGTCAGTGGATCGACATCACAGATGTGAAACCTGGGAACTACATCCTCAAGGTTTGTCAGAAATACCAGATGACGTTTAGCGTCCTCCATAGACACTTTAAAACTCTGCCTCCAAACTTTTCTGGAATCATGTTGCAGTTGTGCACATTTGTTCTAAGTCTCCATTGTGTTACTGATTATTAAATGTTGTGTATTTTGTTGTTGTTCTTCACAGATCAGTGTAAATCCCTCTTATCACGTCCCAGAATCAGACTACAGTAACAACAATGTACGCTGTGATGTCCGCTACACCGGCAACTACGCCCACGTGTCAGGTTGTCACATGTCAGCGTAAGTATCACGTCTCAAATATTATTATCAATATCCTTATTGTGTTTTTATTCTTATTGTTGTATTTTGTATTTTTCAGGTATTAAAAGTCGGCAGCAGCTCAGCTGAGACATAAATGATAATGGAGAGGACTGCATACAAAAAAACAACATAAAAAATTTGCATTCATTTTATAATTGAAATAATCCCACAGAGTCATCTGACTTCATAGTGCCAGATAATGTTGAATTCTTCTTTGCTTATGTAGGTTTTTTTTCCTGCTACTGAAAAATATATTGTTTTCTCAACTTTATTCTATTTTAATTATTCTTACCTGTATTGCGTTTTTACTTAATGCTTGCTTTTCCTATCCCCTCTAGAATAAAACCCATGAAATTTAGAGGCCAAGATAGACAAACACACACATATGCCAGTTTACATCACACTTTCTAAATGAACCACTTGTTTAAAACTAAATGTCTGTGTTATATTTATATGCAACAGAAGAAACTTTTTTCTTTAATCCAAAGCTTTTGATGAAACTTGAATAAACTTTGTGATATTGTATGATTGTTTATGGACTGATCAGCTGTGACCGCTCCCTCTCATTTGGTTCTAAACCTTTTCAGTTTTATTGACTTTGTGGGGGGAGGTCAGTCTGAATCCCAGTTCAGATTTGGCCTTTGTATGTGGAGTTTGTATGTTCTCCTGTGTCTGTGTGGGTTTTCTCTACCTCTTCCTCCCACGGTCCTCAGACATGCAGATTATATTAATAGCAGATTCTAAATTGGCTCATTGGGATTGGTGACCGTTAAAAGATAAACTATATTTATAATAAATTGATTGTCTTTTGTTGAACACACACACACACACACACACACACTACTGTAAAATGTCAAAAGTGTAAAGTATTGATTATTTTCATTAAGGCCCCAAATCCAGACATAACATATTCATGTTGGTTGTTTTAACAGAACCAAAAATTATTAATCTGAAAAAGATGTAAAACAGAGAAAGTGGCAAATCCTCAAGATAGAAAACCTGGAGCCAGATGTTTTTCTCCTTTTCTTCCTTTTTTCCTTTTCTGCTAAAGAAGTTCTCCAGTAATCGAACACTTAGTAAATTACAGTTGTAGTTATATGCAATAATAAATATATATACTGACATCTTGAAATTATAATTATTTCCAAGTACCACATTTGGTTTGAGAGATTAATAATTGATTGAATAATGGTTTCATCAATATTTAGGACACATGTTTCATTTTCGCAGTAATTACACTTTTTTGAATAATCTATAAGAAGCTGTGTTATTTTCCTTTATTTCTTTATCAGCTGAACATTAGTCATTTTAACTCCAGACACCAGGAGACTTTCATGTTGCTCAAGGTTAAACACTACCCTGTCTGTAACCGTGTCCTCCCCTGCACCAGGGGGCAGCACTGACACTTTCTCATCCTATTTAAATCCAGGGATCTTTATCGGGCTGTCAGAGAAGCTGGAGAAGCCCTCCAGCAGCAGCGAGTGAGTGAGTGTGTGTGTTGGTGTGTGTCTGTCTCTGCGCGTGTGTGAGACACAGGATTTAACATTATTTAGTCAATTTAACGCGTCTTCAAGTCGAAATGCACCCGGTGAACGTATCGATCCCGTCGTTTCGATCGGAAAACAACTCGATCGAGAAAGGATACACGGTGAGCTCTGATCATCACAACAACCTGTGTGTGTGTGTGTGTGTGTGTGTGTG